ATTGTACGTTGAAGCTGCATATGCTGACCAGGAAAATGCCAGTACGTCGTGCAATACTAAGCCGTAGCGGTTACTGGATTCAGGGGAACATTCAGAAACTGCTCCGGGATTTCAACAATAAATGTGAGCTGCGTAGACCATATTATCTTTGCGTCCCGATCCAGTAACCTAACGCCTGCTGCATGTTCACTTATTGAAAGGAACATGCAAATTGCATTTTCTACTGACAGTCATTCAGAAGAATTCATTGCAAGAGACATCACCGGGGTATTCCAAGTTCCCATAAACACTATAACGTGTAACTGCGGACTTCATGTGGAGTACAACTTGCCATGCAGGCATATAACTAAGTACTGCATGCAAAGAAATATCCCCTTAGACGCAGGTAATGTTTCTCTCCGTTGACTAATGCGGTAGAATGAGCAACACAATGTACCTGTGCAAAACTGCATTTCACAATCAACCGCATCCCTCCTCCCATCAAGAGCCCAACTTTGGATGGCAGTTTTAGCGTTCTTCAACGATGAAGAGCAATTCCGCAGTGTCCGGTGTGTACGAGAAATTTTAGATGGTAGGATACCCATTCCGGTAGATGCAAGTACAGAACATCTCGCAGGAAAGTGCTTCTGGCGGTTCCGAAGAAGAAATGGAATTGACGGCTGTAGCTGTATGATCACGGTGGCAGACCAATAACTGCATTTGAAACAATTTCGCAATCACCTATAACAGCCATTAGTCATCCAGGCAATAAGCTTAACCGTGGACCTAGACGCCAGTGTCAACCATCAGAGAGGGGCTATGGAGTTGGTCACTCGGAACTCTGAGGAGATGGACCGTGTAGATGTAAACCAAGAGGAGGATTGTATCTACAGAGGAGTTTGTGAGGTATGTTTCCAAAGCGGTTTACCAACCTGCATTCCCCACGCCAGCATATGGATAGCATGCCGTTGTCACGCAACATCCCATATATCCTGTGCATGGAATCCACACCCAAGCAGCTTTTGTCTAGAATGTCCTGCATGTGGAGACAGTCCCTGGCGGGAAGGTAATGTCGATGACAATTAGAGGGATTTTCGCAAAAAAAGGTAATTTGCATCCTTGGCTCCCACAGCTGTACCCACTTCACTTTTACATTTCAGGTGAAGAAAAACTGCGCCAGAAGTGAATTTTTACTTCGTGACGGGATGTCAACGAACGAAGGCCCTTCTCAAGGCCATCCAAAATGTGATTTCAGTGGCTTCTTTCTTTCAATAAATAAAGTGATTATCCATACTTAAATGCTTCAATTATCGACCGAATGAATGCATTACAGAATATTAGATCGTTAAAAAGTGTAGAACGAAGAATGATAACTACCTAATATGTAGCTATGGTTCAAATAATTGAAAAGTCGAGTCGTATATACCCATCAAAGCTCTTTTAACAGGTGAAAGATAATGTCACGTCCCATTGTATTTATTTGAGCACAGCTGTAGTAGTTTTTCCTTCAGCCGGGACTCTGTGCTATCTTAAGCGACGCTCAGTAGTTTCAGCAACTATTTGTTTCTTAGACGTCTCCTCCTCCCACCAGGTGTTTATTCTCATTCGTTTCCTAAATATTATCAACTTCTAATACGCACTTTGATTACAACTCATCAATATTTCGTCATATTACTCAACCCACTATTGAGACAGGTTAGGTCTTCTTTTGTTAAGTCGAAATTAATCTAGGGAAGCAAATTATTTCAAATTGATCGCATTCATTTAGTTTCTATGCTATGTTGAGCGACGCTCAAAAATCTTAGCAACTGTATTAAAACATCGTTACGTCGCAAATACGCCACAGTGACTAAATAAGTAATCAAATGAGGCTTGATTTTTTTTAATGTAGACACCTTAGTTAACATCACTTACCCTGTAAACCTTAAACATTTTGGTTACTAAGCTGCTTCAATTCTTTGTAATATCCTCATGAGTAGCCTCCAATCTTGATGCATATTAGTTAAAAGTACTAATCCAAATGTTCATATATATATGTATATACAGAGATGGATGTCTAAAAAATATCGCTTTAAATGACCTCAGTGAATTATCTTCAGCCATGAAAAATTTCAGGTAACATTATTTATGCTAGTCTCAGAACTCCATGTATGCGTTGAAAGTAAAATGCTACCAGAGGCAGACTGTTCTAACCTCAAGTAAAATTTTGGAATGCTCGTTAGTGCAACTGAATGTTAAAGCCTGCGTCTGGTAATAAGCTGCCAGATGGCCAATGCAACTGTCCTACTTCTTAACATCCACATCCTTCCAGAGACTTGCTTCGGAAACAGGCATATTTACTTGCAAACACCAATACACCTGTGGTGTGACCTGCGTGCGAATTCCCTGATAATCTGTTCCATTATGGAGGTCACGGATACAAAAGGCTCGATTGGCTTTTGCAAATGTACGCCACCTATGGCGCCGCCGTGTTATCCGTTTCTTAATTAAGAGGCGCGTGTACTGCAAAGCAGTCCGCTTTGTTCTACTCCGTATGGCTGTGAAACATGGCCATTGAAAGTGGAAGATATGAGGCCACCGTTGCCTTCGTAGTATAGGCCGTATTCCGTGGTGTCACCAGGTGAGTAATGCAGAAGTCAGGTGAAGAGTTTTAGGGAGAAGAGGTAAATCAGTAGACAAGGTTATAAACCTTCATCGATTGAGATGGTTGGGACACGTACTACGTATGCCCAGTCACCGATTGCCTCGTCACACAGTGTTGGCCGAAGTAGGTCCAGGCCCGAGGTGGCCAGACTAAAACATGGAACCAATGTATGAAGTCTCTGACTGTTGGTTTGAGCCATGTAGGGTGATGCACACTACTAGGTGGTTGGGGTCCGCGGGACAAGAGGAACCAGTGGTTGGAGACTCTAGGGGATATGGCTCAGAACCGTATGTATACACATATTATCCTTATCTTGACGACGCTATACCGAATCTCACCATTTTGTCATTCTTCTTTTCTTTCCTCTCGTACTTATTTTTTTTACTGCATTCTCTTATCTTCATCCACCTCACTACCTTTCCACTTGATGTACCGATATGAGCTGTGGCAACTCGGACCGTTACGCAGTAATGCCTGGTCCTATGTTGATATTGATTGACTGATTGATTATAGAAGTCTCATTTCATCAACTAAAAAAGTCTTCGATGGAATCCATGCATTTACTAGATAGAAAAATTGTAAGTTAACTCAGGATACTTTCTGAAACTGATAACTGTAACTGAAAGTGTCGCCGAAAATCCTTGTTTTTTCCATCATGAAGAAAATATTAAATACTCGCATAGTATTTATAAGCCAATTTACTGCAGTTATTCGATAACAACAAGAATTCTGATACATTACCACTTCTTAGAAACATAGGAAGTTAAAGAAATGCTGTCTCTTAACCACAGCTGAAATAAAGTAGTTTCCCCACTGTCATACTTCAAACTTGAACAGCAAATCCACTTTCAATAAAAAGTTTTGAAGTGCAGAGTACGTGGTAGCAATTTCGAGGTAAACACGGAGATACTTTGTAAAGTTTGCCCATATGAGCGTGATTACTCAGTTAGTACACGTTTTCGAAGACCACCTCAATGTTGGTCAGAACTACCAAGGCAGAGTAATCAGTTTCTCATCAACATTATCCTCAAAATTACAGCTGGCAGTGTATTGAAGGTATCCTGACCAACAATGGACTGGATGGTTTGGAAAAACTTGGGCACAGAGTTAGTATGATTCATTGTATTGGGTGTATTTTTACTTGTGTAATCCCGGCCAATGTCAGATCCATACTCTTGAAAAGGATCTTCCTAGCAAGATCGAAAGGTTGAGGATTAATACGAAATATTTATTCTAATATACGACACCGGGATTACACACATAAAAACACACTTTATACAATGTAGCAGTGTATTCCTACAAGGATTTAAATATATAGATGAAAAGATTGTGTATTGCCGAGTGGAATAATATATTATAAGTACATTTCGAATGAAAAGTTCAAAAACAATGGTAAGCTCTCATTTCAGTAAATTATTAGGAAAATATTCCGAATGTTGGTGTGATCGCAGGCAGTAATTTGGTTCCGATTATTACCGAAATAAGAACTTAACATTATGTGCAAACTTTCGATTAATACATTTAAGTTTTAGATTTTTCTGCAAACCTCAGTTACAGGTATAAATTACACTCAATACATATTGATCTCGGTGACTACCAGGACGCGCGCTTCGTCCTACTCGGGACTCGTCAGCCGAATGTAGCAGGACCTCACTCAGTGATATGGTTCCCACCGTGGATCGAACTCAGTGCCCATCGCTTAAACAGGCAGAGCCTTATTCACTAACCCGAGTACCAAATAGAACAAAACACCAGTCCTGGAGTCCTCTGTTATTCACCGAGATCAATGTAACATCATGAATCAGCAGTAGTATCAAGGTATCCGCATAGGAGCCTATATACCATCAGAGGTCGAGAAATTCAGCCCTGTATAACAACAGGAAATTACAACTATCATAACAACAATTACACTCAATACATTTTGAAACAGGCTCCCTGAAATATTACACAACATTGTCACTACAGAATTAAATTCTCCACAAATTTTAAATTCATTTTGGATTTAATCTTAACCTGAAGGCGATTAATTTCTTAAAACAGAATTTATGTTGCAAGGAGAGATTTTATGAGCGAATGAGAAAGGTAAGTGGAACATGTGATTTATACATTGTGATATAGTGACTGAAGTGAAAGGAATAAGGAAACGCGTTTGTTTTACTCCTGCTCCATGTGTTGTTTTGCAGTGTGGAGTGCACGGTAACGCATGTTGTACGCATTTCGTTTTGGTTCTCACTACACTAATCTCCTTGTTTTTGTCTTCCCATTCCTATGGATTTCTTTGGGTGTTAAGATTTGTGGTGGATTAAACTGATACAGCTTAGTGTTGTTATATTTCTAATTCATATATTTCTTGCTAATTTTGCTTTTCTTTCTATAGAGGCGTTTAGATCTATCACGTATTTGAATCTGTAATTTACAGGAATGTTACTTCAAGGAGTAGTTAGAAGCGCATTACGATGCAGTCGAGTTCCTATTTCGAATTTAGTATTTCGTGGCTATGCAGCTCATGTCCAGCGTCCGGCTCCTGATTTTTGTGGAATGGCAGTGGTAGATGGTCAGTTTAAAGAGATAAAACTTCAAGATTATGCTGGGAAGTACTTGGTTCTCTTTTTCTATCCTCTTGATTTTACATTTGTCTGTCCAACTGAGTTAATTGCATTTTCCGACCGAATCGATGAATTCAAAAAGGAAGGAGCTGAAGTTGTTGGGGTTTCAACTGACTCACACTTTAGCCATCTTGCATGGATCAATACACCACGTAAAGTAAGGCAATTCGTCTTCAGTAATCTAGATTAATAAACTACTTAGTATGGTCATCATATGTACTAGCCGGAACTTTCATGCTACACTGATTTTCCATAGTTGAATTAATTTATAACAATGAAATCACCATATAGACGAACTCAATAGGGCGATTCACTTTTCTCAGAACAAAAAATTAGTATTTAAACTTCCGAGGACCATTTAACAAGATATTTTATTGGTCATTTTTATACTTTCACTTAAAATGTTTGCATTATAATTTAGAGGTCATTGTGATGTGGAGCATCTTAATTTCTTTGGTTAGTAGCAATCAGTGAATTTCAGTGTTTTTTCCGAGTCGCAGGTACTGGAATTGTTTTCCGAAAGCTGATGACTCCATATTGATCACAATTATACTAATGCATTACCACTCCGTATCATCAAACTTCATGTTTTCGTTCTACCTCAAATTCTTCCTATCAACCTAAGTAACTTTCTGCTTATCTTGTTTTTGGTTGTTCTGTTGAAAAAGTGTGGTAGTGAGAAGTGATGCACTCTTCCTGTCTTCGTGTATCTAAATGTATTCAGTACCAAGCATTGTTTTGTTTAGTTTACAGAGGTGACCTTTGCTATTTTCATTCTAATCGTTTTTATGAAAACAAAGAAACACCCTCTGGATTTTACATAGTTATATTCTTGTTTCTAATAGCAGTAAACCTTATAATAGTAAGTTCGTGATATGGTGAATATTTATGCAGTATAACTGTCAGTTTATAGAACAGAACACAATGGCAGTCAACTCAAACCTACCTCAACTTCATCGATTTTGAAAAGACCTCCGACAGTGTCGACCGAGCAGTAATTTCGCGGGCAGCTGCTTCAACAATACGCTTTTAGTGCAACAAGCCTTTATCAACCTCATTCAACAACCATATCACAACGCCACATGCAAACTGATTCAAAACACAATGGAAAGCTCAGTAACACTTTCGAAGTGATTGATCACAGGAAGGAGTAAGATAAGGCTGCCACCGACTATCACCGATCATCTCCCTGATTGATTGTGGTCAACTAGACTGGATCATGCAACAAAGTGTGACGAGCGATAAGAGGGTCATACGCTGGCTGGCTGGCTGGCTGGCTGGACCGATGAAAAGACAAAACCCTAGAAGAAGATTTGGATTTCGCCGCCGATGATGATTTGTGCCTAATGTCGCACAAGCTCGGAGATCTACAGACAAAAACCAACAAGTTGACACAAGAGGCAAGGTAGCGAAGACGGGACTTCCTTTAGGTGGACGTGGAGAAGATAGAGATGATGAAGATGCCCAACCAAAAACAACAACAAGCACCAATCACCATCAACGGGAGAAACCTAAAGGAAGTAACCTCTTTCACCTACCTACCTAGGCAGCATCGTTCCAACTACAGGCAGCGGCACAGGCACAGATCAGGATGCCAAAGCCAGCCAAGATCGGAAACACAGCAAGACAGACCTTCCTTCATTAACCTGAAACAATCAGTGTGCAGATCTACTGCAGCACACCACTCAGCATAAACAACAAGATCCGGATTTTCAACACTAATGTAAAGTCAAGTCAGTACTTCTATATGGTTATGGTTCGGAAACTTGGCACATTACGAAAAGCATTTCCAACAAACTACACACACACACGCACACACGAACACCCGATACTGAAGATCAGATGGGTGGCCAGCCAGAATAATAGGAACAAGCAAGGAGGAACTCTGGCTGGCTGGCTGACTGGCTGGCTGGCTGGCTGGCAACGAACCAACGAAGCAAGAACCCATCGCCCAACTAATATGCAGAAGAAGAAAGTCAAGATGGATTGGATTGGACATAGACTGAGAAGGCCGATTGGGGACATCACGCGCCAGGCTGTCGAGTGGAACCCAAAGGGGAAAACAACGAGTTGGGTGTCCGAGTGTGGGTGGCATGGAGGAGATGGTGTGAGGAAGAAATGACAGCTTCTGGGCAGTTGTGGAGCCAGGTTCAAAAGACTGCAGAGAACAGAGTGCGATGGAGACGTGCTACTGAAGCCGTATGTTCCACTGGGAACCCAAAAGACAAATAATAATAAAATGATTTCTCAAGCATTTAGTTAAAACAAGTGTTGGTTGCTTTCAACAACGGAAGCAAAAAGAAAGCTACAGCATCATCTTGTTCCACCGGGAACCCAAAGGCAAATATAAATATTAACTGTCAGCTTAGACTGGAGTCTTTATGAAGTTATAAAAAATCGTAAAAATCGTGGGTGAAATGTTTTTAATGTGATCACTGATGTTCATTATTTTGTGTTTGTATTTCCCATTCAATGTGAAACAAAACGAATTCTGTTTTTAGTTTGTTTTGTATTCGTTGGAAAATACAACTATCAAGACAATGAATATCATTTACGCATTGTTGAAATTTTTTCCAACTATTCAATCCTAACTTCTTTTGGATATCTATAAAGTGACGACTAATGTGTTCGATTTTATTTCGCTGTTACTAGTAAGCATTTCATTATCCTTTGTTTCGTTATTCCTAGTTTTTGTCCGATCTTCTGTTCTTCATCATCATCACTATTTTGTCCTATATTTAGTTTAGTACTATCTACTGCTGTTTCAACCTTGTTCAGTGTACTACCTTTTTGGTGTTTTTGTGTTACTTTTGCTGTGGAGCCATAGCTGATTCGTTTAGATATTCTACTTCTAGCTGATTATTTGCAACTGTAAATCTTGTTTCATCGGTCAGGGGCTTGGTAGTCAGGTACTTTTCATGCGGTAGGTGTAGTTGGTAACCTAATGCATGAATTTGTACATGGTCACTGTCAGTAAGCTATCCAAATAACTACTAAGGACTTACTGTGTAGTGGTGCTTTTCATCAATACCCCATCTGTTAGTTGGTGAACATGAATATGCAATAGTTTCTGATGGGACTGACCATCAATGCAGTTGAACCACCGAAGACGTGTACTCGAAACGCTAAGTGAGCAATACCGCTGTTGACCATAAATTGTTATATAAAGAAGTTGAGTTGGTTCATAAGATCTTAAACCTTTTTCGACGGAGTTGGCTATGATGTATTGCAACAGGTTATAAGTAAAAGAACTTGAAATAAACTGCTCATCTACTAAGGTTGCCACAGTTCACAGCAGCAAATTGAGATGTCTTGAGAAAATAAAAGTGAAAAAGATTTAATGACGCCTTATTGATTATTGCCAGCAAACAGGGAACGTAGATTCAGGGTTACCTACCGAAATTGATTCCTAGCACGTATCAACAAAATACAATGTACCAAACTACTGACTCACTTTACTGATAGACTTCAGTCATTGTTGAGCACCTTCGAAGTAACCAACTAGTGACACTAGTAGTCATAAAAAAGCATATGACAAAAATTGTGGTGGATAAAATAACGTTACACCGTAGTACAATTGCCATGGTGTTTGTTGTTATGTTCCCTATATATTTAGTTTACGCACTTTATTTTCCAAATCACTTTAAATGTTCAATGTATTAGTATAGGCTGTTTCACGATATGTAATTACCCTTCTATATATTAAACTGTCACTACATTTCGTCTAATTTTCTTTGGTTTATTTTCCTCTAATTAGGAGGGAGGTTTGGGAGGATTACGCTATCCTCTTCTTAGTGACTACAAGAAGCAGATAACACGTGATTACGGGATCCTTCAGGAACAGTTAGGCGCTGCTTTACGTGGACTTTTTATCATCAGTCCTGAAAGTATTGTACGTCAGATCACTATCAATGATCTTCCCGTTGGAAGATCTGTTGACGAAGTTTTGAGACTGGTCAGAGCATTCCAGTTTACAGACAAACATGGTGAAGGTAATTCTGTTTTATTATTCTCTGTCTTGTAATCATATGATTGTTTCATTTTCTTACCGGTTCTGGGTCAGCCGAAGCAATCTGTCAGTTTAAATTCCTGTTAGTGAATTTTTCAAAAACTAAAGTCTCAGTAAGCACTAATTCAGTACCTGATGATTGAGGGAAGTTAGCGAGAAGTCTAGTTCAGTGGAGATTTCGTGTTTGTTAGCGTTCGCTAAAAGACTGACTATCGTCACTCATTATCGCTGTGATAAAGTTTTGAGTTGGCTAGTCTGATTGTCAAAATCTGCTCAAGCTTTTGCTCGTGTCCTTTTATTTGTCTGTTACTTTCCAAATGTATTATCATTGCTGAACAACTTGTATAATGCAGAATATGATGTATTTTTTTAGTTTAAGCCTACTATGTTTCGAAACAGCATGGTATGTTATAACACAAACGAAGTCATAAGCAGTGAGACATTTAACCAGTAAATTGTGGACTGGGACTAACGTTTTAAGAGCAAAGTGAAATACGAGGCCATTTATGACACTGTCGCTACAATTAAATCATATTCCTTAGGTTTTTTAAAAATACCAGTTTCTACAATCTCACAGACTCCAACCAGGAAACGTAAGGTGGCTTAAAGGATTGATGTTAACTGATGATAATTTCATGCGTTGAATTTGTGTTCTACGAGAAAGTACTCTCAATAAAAACTGTTATATTCTTGTACGGGTGTATTGTATGATAAGATGTCAACCGTGAGTACATTGCCTATACATGCTACTTTGGGAGTACAAAAATGAACTGATGTATGTACTGCTTAGTATCGCGCAGATCTCATTAGCTTAGTTTTGCGCAGACAGTCCAATAATTGGTACACAAACAACCATTTACATACAAGATTTCAACCTTATTATACGTCAGTATTATTTGTCCTTTGAGTTCCCAGTGGAACATACGGCTTCAGTAGCACGTCTCCATCGCACTCTGTTCTCTGCAGTCTTTTGAACCTGGCTCCACAACTGCCCAGAAGCTGTCATTTCTTCCTCACACCATCTCCTCCATGCCACCCACACTCGGACACCCAACTCGTTGTTTTCCCCTTTGGGTTCCACTCGACAGCCTGGCGCGTGATGTCCCCAATCGGCCTTCTCAGTCTATGTCCAATCCAATCCATCTTGACTTTCTTCTTCTGCATATTAGTTGGGCGATGGGTTCTTGCTTCGTTGGTTCGTTGCCAGCCAGCCAGCCAGCCAGCCAGCCAGCCAGCCAGCCAGCCAGCCAGCCAGCCAGCCAGCCAGCCAGCCAGCCAGCCAGCCAGCCAGCCAGCCAGCCAGCCAGCCAGCCAGAGTTCCTCCTTGCTTGTTCCTATTATTCTGGCTGGCCACCCATCTGATCTTCAGTATCGGGTGTTCGTGTGTGCGTGTGTGTGTGTAGTTTGTTGGAAATGCTTTTCGTAATGTGCCAAGTTTCCGAACCATAACCATATAGAAGTACTGACTTGACTTTACATTAGTGTTGAAAATCCGGATCTTGTTGTTTATGCTGAGTGGTGTGCTGCAGTAGATCTGCACACTGATTGTTTCAGGTTAATGAAGGAAGGTCTGTCTTGCTGTGTTTCCGATCTTGGCTGGCTTTGGCATCCTGATCTGTGCCTGTGCCGCTGCCTGTAGTTGGAACGATGCTGCCTAGGTAGGTAGGTAGGTAGGTAGGTAGGTAGGTGAGAGAGGTTACTTCCTTTAGGTTTCTCCCGTTGATGGTGATTGGTGCTTGTTGTTGTTTTTGGTTGGGCATCTTCATCATCTCTATCTTCTCCACGTCCACCTAAAGGAAGTCCCGTCTTCGCTACCTTGCCTCTTGTGTCAACTTGTTGGTTTTTGTCTGTAGATCTCCGAGCTTGTGCGACATTAGGCACAAATCATCATCGGCGGCGAAATCCAAATCTTCTTCTAGGGTTTTGTCTTTTCATCGGTCCAGCCAGCCAGCCAGCCAGCCAGCCAGCCAGCCAGCCAGCCAGCCAGCCAGCCAGCCAGCCAGCCAGCCAGCCAGCCAGCCAGCCAGCCAGCCAGCCAGCCAGCCAGCCAGCCAGCCAGCCAGCCAGCCAGCCAGCCAGCCAGCGTATGACCCTCTTATCGCTCGTCACACTTTGTTGTATGATCCATCTAGTCGACCACAATCAATCAGGGAGATGATCGATGATTGTTTAAATACTGATTTCAGTTTTTTGTAGAATTCCTCGTCTGTCTCTTGATCTGCATTATTTGTTGGTGCGTAGCGTAGCATTGTATGATTACAACTTTCATTCCTCTCAAGTTCATTTTTCCCGGCATAATACTGATGCTGGTGGAGATTTCTTTCCCACTGCATGAGAGTGAGCATTCGATGTTATTGGGGACATCATGATAACGTGCTCCAAATATCAGTGTGCTCTTGATCGTCGTCTAGGTGACAATATCGGAGTAGATTATTGACTCTCCAGTTTGGAGTTCGAAGAGTCCACTTCCATTCCATCTGCAGATTCCTTGCAGATCCCTAGCACTTCTATGCTATACCTTATCGTCTCTTTTGGAACCTGGGCAGCCCTACTGGGTTCATTGATGATGCGTACATTGCATGTCTCGGTGTTTACTTTCGATTTCATCGAGAGGGACGAAAACACATTGGCCACTTGTCTTGCTGAAGGCTTTCTGCCAACCGGCGTCACTTCATCTCTCCGATTCCATCAAGGAATGAATTTGTTTATTTTTTTTATATTTTCTTTGTGCTTTGAACTTTCTTTAGCAGTTGAACTGGTTTTCCGAGGTTGGGTTACTGGCCCTATACCTAACGTTCCCTCTTTATCCGGGCTTAGGACTGGCTGGTAACTAGTGAACTAGTTAACTAGGCTAGGTTTTTATTTGAGCATTGTGCTGAAATAAATAATAGAGTTATTATGTTCAAAACTGCTTACATACACCTTTCTTTGTCAAACTTACTTTTTTGTGGCTAGCAGAGGAGTCCAGAAGGCGCGTTTCGTCCTACTTAGAACTCGTCAGCTGGATGTGCGTGTATCCCAGTGCGTTATGTTGTTCCTACGGAAACTCGAACCTCGTATCTGTCGCTCCATACGCCAAGGTGTTTTCCGCTAGGCCACTCCTTATCAAATTGATAAGAGTGAGAACAAGCATGAAAGCGGAATAATATTGATCAGTTTTGTTATTTTACTGGTTCTTTCTAGTTGCATACTACCTGAAGTGCTTAAGATATCGAATTACAAAAGAATATCAACATACATTGGTTTCCCGAAACAGTCGAAATCAAACAACGACCTGGCGAAATAGTCGATTTGCGAATTGGAATAAAGTCGCAACGTCGAGTAGTGATGTCTTTGTATGTAATTCAGATGAAAGTCCTCGTAAAAATTAGATGGAGGTTGAAAAATGAATATTTTGGGACTTGCAGAAAGGAATTACGTGGATCTATTGCTTTGTAATGGTCAGAAAACAGAATGTAATAAAACAATGAGTAGAACTTAATTTATTAAGATTTAGGTCTATTGTAAAGTGAGTAACGCAGAAGTCAGACGTAGAGTTTTAGAAAGGAAATGTGGTTGTGAACCTTCATTGACTGCGATGGCCGGGACATATTTTACTTATGCCTAGTCGCCGTCTGCCTCGTCACACGATGTTAGTGGAAGTAGGTTCAGGCGACCAGACCAAAACTTAGCATCAATGCATGAAATCCTTGACCGTTGGTTTGAGCTATGTGGGGTTGGGGTGGTTGGAGATTCTAGGCGATATGACTGAGAACCGATGTCAGTGGCGTAGGTGTATACACAGATTATCGTCATCTATACTTAATCTCATCATTTTCTTACTCCTCCTGCCTGTCTTTTACTACTTTCTACCTCTTGACTGATTTTCCTTTCCTTCATCTTCCACCTTATTGTCGTGTTACTTGATGTGCTGATGTGAGATGTGGCAACTTGGACTGTAACACAGTGCAATCCCTGGTCCTATTTTGTTCTTGATGATGATGATGTAAACTGAAAAGTGAAAAAATGGAAGGATGACATCAAATAAGTAAAGGTTATTTATTGATATTTATAATTTCCCGTTGATATACTGCGTTGAATTGCTCTACCTCTGTTGGTAGATGGGTTCCTATGCGTATGCCTTGATACTGCCTCCACATTCATTGTTATAGTTTACTTACATGGTGGCTATCAATGGAATCTAGAATGCGCAGTTGCATCCGGCTAACGTCCTGGATTTCACTACTGACCACCAAGTAAACTTCAAATAAGTGAAGGGTTAAAAGAATGTGTTGCTAGCGAAGTTAATGATTAACTACAAACTCCTTACTCGCACAAGTCTGGTTTTAGGTGTTTAGTTGCGATGAATTCATAAAAGCGAAGTTTTGATTCATTCTGATTGTTGATTGTTTTGCACAACCGCAAAGCTTCTGCTTGATATTCGCTGTCTACTGAGGGCTTAGTAACCTTACTACTGAAACCACTTGATCCCCTTAGTTTCAAGCTCTTTGGGATATGTTCAAAGTAAACTCTTCTTTCTATCCTCGTGATGTAACTGCTCTTTCAGATACGTGTAACTTGGTGGACTCAATCGGAGGTTATATATAAGGGTGTACCTGTCAGTTTTCATTGTACTACTAACAAACAAGAGTTTCGAAATGAATGATTAGCTTTGTTACAGGATATGTTCTGATCAGTGAAGTGGTTCGTTTTTCGTTTATTACTATTGCAATATAATCAAGGGGGATGAAGACTAGCTTCTTGCCGACTGTTATTTTCTCAGTTTCTCTGTATTCTCTCTCTTACCGTATTTGTTGATAAGAAGTTGTGGTGTTCTGTCCCTCTTTGGAGCATATCTGACCAGTTGATGAGAACTTCTTTGGTTATTCATATTCGACTCACTGATTTGTCTCTATAATAACATAGTAGAAAGGTTGTCAAGAGAGAATATCCTTGCCTTATCATCTCATTTTTTAATAGTTTGTCCAGCGAATTGGAAACCAT